TTGTATTCAGTTCTTAAAAATAGCTCTAGAAGAGTTCGAGTGAAAGGTGAAAGAAATGTCTTTAGTTACAACCATCCTCTTTCCGCCACAGCTAAGTTTATGTTAATGAGGTGATTTTTGGAAAGCTCCTACAAACCACAGGATGGGAGGCTAGTTACCAGGGGAACCAACCACGTGATTGGAGCTTTGAAACTTTCAGCTCTGTCCCCACCTCCAGGGAGGGAAGAGAAAACTGAAGGTTGAGTTGATCACCAATAGTGAATGATGTGATTAATCACGTCACCATAATAAAGCCACCATAAAAACCCAAAAACAGGGCTCAGAGAGCCTTCCGGTTGGTAAATAAGAACGTAACCATATGCCTGGAGGTATCTCTTCATCTGGCTGTTCATTTGTATCATTTAAAATATCCTTTGTAGGGCCAGGTGCGGTGGCTCACACCTGTAATCCCAGCACTTTGGGAGGCTGAGGCAGGTGGATTACTTGAGGTCAGGAGTTCAAGACCAGCCTGACCAACATGGTGAAACCCCATCTCTACTTAAAATACAAAAATTAGGCCTGGTGCAGTGGCTCATGCCTATAATCCCAGCACTTTGGGAGGACAAGGTGGGCGGATCATGAGGTCAGGAGTTCGAGACCAGCCTGGCCAGCATGGTGAAACCTCGTCTCTACTAAAAATACAAAAAAAAAAAAAAAATTAGCTGGGCATGGTGGCGCAGGCCTGTAATCCAGCTACTTGGGAGGCTGAGGTGGGAGAATCACTTGACCCCAGTAGGCGGGGGCTGCAGTGAGTCGAGATCGTACCACTGCACTCCAGCCTGGGCAAAAGAGACTCTATCTTAAAATAATAATAATAATAATAATAATTAGCCAGGCATGGTGGTGGGCGCCTGTAATCCCAGCTACTTGGAAGGCTGAGGCAGGAGAATCGCTTGAACCCGGGAGGCAGAGGTTGCAGTGAGCTGAGATTGCGCCATTGCACTCCAGCCTGGGCAACAAGAGTGAAACTCCATCTCAAAAAAAATAATAATAATAAATAAAATAAAATATCCTTTGTAGACTGGGCGCAGTGGTTCACACCTGTAATGCCAGCACTTTGGGAGGCCAAGGCGGATGGATCACTTGAGGTCAGGAGTTCGAGACCAGCCTGGCCAACATGGTGAAACCCCTTCTCTACTAAAAATACAAAAATAGCTGGGCTTGGTGGAGCATGCCTGTCATTCCAGCTACTCGGGAGGCTGAAACACGAGAATCATTTGAACCCAGGAGATGGAGGTTGCCGTGAGCCAAGATTGTGCCACTGCACTCCAGCCTGGCAACAGAATGAGACCCTCAAAATAAGAGTAAATAAATACATAATAAAATATCCTTTGTAAGACTAGGCACGGTGACTCACTCCTATAATCTCAGTGCTTTGAAAGGAGCGAGGTGGGAGGATCTCTTGAGACTTGGAGGTTGAGACTAGCCTGGACAACAGATCGAGACCCTAACTTTACAAAAAATAAATAATTACTTGAGTGCAGTGGCATATGCCTGTATTCCTAGCTACTTACAGGACTGATGAGGGAGGATCGCTTGATCCCAAGAGTTGAAGGCTGCAATGAGCCATGATCCTGCCACTGCACTCCAGCCTGGAAGACAGAGTGAAACCCTGCTCTATTAAAACAATAAATCCTCCCAACTGGGCTCCTGTAGTCCCAGCTTCTTGGGAGGCTGAGGCAGGAGAATGGCGTGAACCCGGGAGGCGGAGCTTGCAGTGAGCCGAGATCACGCCACTGCACTCCAGCCTGGGCGACAGAGCGAGAGACTCTGTCTCAAAAAAAAAGGAAAAAAAATCCTTTGTAATAAATGGGTAAATGTAAGTAGTGTTTCTGTGAGTTCTTTAGGCTGCTATATAGCAAATTAATCAAACCCAAAGAGTGGGTCATGAAAACCCTGATTTACAGCTGGTTGGTCAGAAGCATAGGTCACATCCTGGGACTTACAACTGACATTTGAAGTGAGGGACATTCTTGTGAGCTGTTAGTTTCTGGTATCGGACTCTGTCTCCAGGTAGATACTGTCACAATTAAATTGAAGTATATAGCAAACACAGCTGGTGTCTGCTTGAGAAGTGGTTATTGGTGGACCAGAAGTGAAGTATTCTGCTAAATATTTTGTTAATGGTTTTCCTATCTCTTTAAGAAAAGTGTATTTGAGACCCTCGAATAGGATTTTTAAAATTTAATTTAATTTAATTTAATTTTTTTAGTTTTTTTGAGACAGAGTTTTGCTCTTGTTGCCCAGGCTGGAGTGCAATGGCACGATCTCAGCTCACCGCAACCTCCACCTCCCAGGTTCAGGCAATTCTCCTGCCTCAGCCTCCCTAGTAGCTGGGATTATAGGCATGTGCCACCACGCCCGGCCAATTTTGTATTTTTAGTAAAGACAGGGTTTCTCCATGTTGGTCAGGCTGGTCTTGAACTCCCGACCTCAGGTGATCCACCTGCCTCGGCCTCCCAAAGTGCTGGGATTACGGGCATGAGCCACCACGCCTGGCCAGGAAGATTTTTATTTTAATGATCAGCAAAGGCCTAAAAGTCCATGACCATTCACAAGTGTCATTTCCATATGGTAGATTTCCAGCACATGTTAGGAAAGAAAAAACAATGAACAGCTTTGTGTTTTACCAAAGAACAAATAAAATCCTATTTTTATTCAATATTTCAATAATTTATGTTTGCATATCACTTTGGTGACTAATGTGATTTCATAATCACTAGTATTTCATTTGATTAGCCCCACCCAATCATACCTCCCATCCTGCAAATGAAAAAAGTTAAGTATGGAGAGCACAAAGTCTTGTCTAAACTCATATGGCTCATAAGTAATAATGAAATTGGCCGGGTGCACTAGCTCACGCCTATAATCCCAACACTTTGGGAGGCTGATGTGGAAGGATCACTTGAGTCCAGGAGTTCAAGATCAACCTAGGCAACATAGGGGGATCCTGTCTCTAAAATTTAAAATTTTTTAATTTTTTTTTTTTTGAGATGGAGTCTCGCTCTGTCACCCAGGCTAGAGTGCAGTCACACAATCTCGGCTCACTGCGATCTCCACTTTCCGGGTTCAAGCAATTTTCCTGCCTCAGCCTCCCCAAATAGCTGGGATTACAGATGTGCACCACCACGCCCAACTAAAAAAAAAAAAAAAATTTAAATTAGCCAAGCATGGTGGCGCACACCTAGTCCTAGTCCTAGCTACTAGTCCCAGCTACTAGGGAAGCTGAGGCAGGGGGATTGCTTGAGCCTGTGAAGTCGAGTCTACAGTGAGCTGTGATCTTGCTACTGCACTCCAGCCTGGGCGACAGCACATAATAGTAACAGTAATACAGTATAATAATAACAATAATAATAATGGAACTTCTCAGTATTAAAGTCCAAATGCTTGCCACCACATATACTGAGAACTGTCAAAAACTGAAAACTCAGGCCAGGTGTGGTGACTCACACCTGTAATCCCTGCACTTTGGGAGGCTGAGGCAGGAGGACTGCTTGAAGCCAGGAGCTTGAGACCAGCCTGCACAACACAGCAAGAACACTGTCTCCAAAAAAAAAAAAAAAAAGTAACGAACAGGAACAGGAACAGCATAGCATCTACAGACAGAGAAGCAGCAGCAAATCAGTGGAGGCCAGGATTGAGACCTTCCCCGTTTGGGGTTTTGGTAGACAAGAAGGACGGTGACCCAGACACTGAAAAATACCAGCATGCTGAACTTAAGGATTGGATTGTTGAAAATGTCAGGCAAGCTCCTGGCCAGAAAAGCCACACTGAAGCTCCCATGAGCCAAGGAACCCAGGATTCACAGAACAGTCAATAACCAAATCGTAGTTTTATGTGAAGATGACATATTCAGGCTCAGATGTATCTACATGCATGAAGGCTGTAGTCATTCCCCATGAAATTCCTCCCACTTCAGCCTCCCAAAGTGTTGGGATTACAGAGTCACTTCGATCAGGGAACTGACAGCAATGACGGAATTAGATACCCCTGATACTAACCAGTGCCATATCCGTCTCTTGCGTGGTTACCTGGAAGGTCAGAACTACAGTGATCGTTTTGTCCAAACTATGCAAACAAGTAAACATAACTCCAAATGTGTGGTTTTTGTGTTTTTTGGAGATAGGGTCTAGCTCTGTTGCCCAGGCTAGAGTGCAGTGGCACCATCACAGGTCACCGCAGTCTCAGGTTGAAGCCATCCTCTTGCCTCAGCTTCCCAAGAAGCTGGGACTATGTCACCATGTCCAGCTAATTTTTTATCTTTATTTATTTATTTATTTTTGAAACAGAGTTTCACTCTGTTGCCCAGGCTGGAGTACAGTGACGCGATCTCAGCTCACTGCAACCTCCTCCTCCCAGATTCAAGCAATTCTCGTGCCTCAGCCACCCAAGTAGCTGGGATTACAGGTGTGCCCCTTACCCCCACGCCCAGCTAATTTTAAAAATATTTTTAATAGAGATGAGGTTTCACCATGTTGGCCAGGTTGGTTTCCAACTCCTGGCCTCAAGTGATCCACCCACCTTACCTCCTAAAGTGCTGAGATTACGGGCATGAGCTACTGCACCCAGCCAATTTTTTTTATTTTCTGAAGAGACAGAGTCTCACTACATTGCCCACACCGGTCTCCAATTCCTGGACTCAAGCAATCCTCCCACCTCAGTCTCCCAAAGTGCCAGGATTACAGGTATGAGCCACTGCACCCAGCTCAAATGTGATATTCCAAAGGATGCAGGTGGCTATGTTGGGATAACCAATGAAGGTAAGGGACAATGGAAGTACAGGTTGAGGGCAATGAACAGGACACACCTGAGAGTCTGGTTATTGGCCTTGACTATGGGAGTGTCTTGATGCGTCACAAAGACCCCAAAGACCCCCCACAAAAAGGTCACAGAAGCACAGGCCCAAATGGTCATTATAAACCAGGAAGGTCGCCACACTGACAGGTAGCGATCTCACTTACAGTTTGAGTCTTGATGCTTTGTCCATGGTGCTCACTGTTCTGCATCTAATTAGAAACAAGAGGATGCATTTTGTGAGTTTCAGCAATTTAGAACCAAACATCACATGGGACAATCTTGGAAGCATTGCTCCCCCTTCATCTACTGTAACCTCAAACTCTTAGCCTTGAGATCTTCCTGCCTCAGCCTCTGAAGTAGCTAGGACTACAGGTGAACACCACGCTTAGCTAATTAAAAAAAAAAATTTTTAGAAATGGGATCTCCCTATGTTGCCCAGGCTGGTCTTGGACTCTTGGCCTTTCAAAGTTCTGTAGGGACACTCTAGAACACTTATTTGAGATAAATTTCCTTCCACTTTACAGCAGCACGGATGGAACTGGAGGCCATTATCCTTTTTTTTTTTTTGAGACAGAGTCTCGCTCTGTCGCCCAGGCTGGAGTGCAGTGGCGCGATCTCGGCTCACTGCAAGCTCCGCCTCCCGGGTTCACGCCATTCTCCTGCCTCAGCCTCCTGAGTAGCTGGGACTACAGGCGCCCGCCACCGCGCCCGGCTAATTTTTGTATTTTTTCTTTTTAGTAGAGACGGTTTCACCGTGGTCTCGATCTCCTGACCTTGTGATCCGCCCGCCTCGGCCTCCCAAAGTGCTGGGATTACAGGCGTGAGCCACCGCGCCCGGCATTATCCTAAGTGCGATAACAAAAACAGAAAGTCAAAAACTGCATCTTCTTACATATAAGGGGGAGCTAAACAATGGGTAAACATGGACATATAGAGTGGAATAATAGACACTGGAGATGCCAATAGGTTGGAGAGAGAGAAGGGATGAGGGATGAAATATTACCTATTGGATACAATATACACTCTGGGTGATGGGTGCACTAAAAGCCAGACTTCGCCACTATGAAATATATCCATGTAACACAAGTGCATTTGTAACCATAAATCTACAAAAATAAAAATGAAAATAAAAAGCAATAAAAACATGCTTAAACTAAAAACAAACAAAAAACAAAAAGAAACCATTTCCTTTCACAGTAAAATGCCATTTACTGAACATGTCTCATAGATCGTGATTGGTCTGAAAAGAGTCCCTTTCCCCAGGTTACGGTTGCAATTTACCACCAGAGCCAAGTGCTTGGGTGTCCTACGGTTTATTTTTTCTTTCTTTCTTTCCTTTTTTTTTTTTCTTGGGATGAGTTCTGGCCATGTTGCCCAGACTGAACTCAAACTCCTGAAGACACATGATCCACCCGCCTCAGCCCACCCACCCCCCAACTTCCCCCACCACCCCCACCACGCAGTAGCTGGGACTACAGGTGTGCGCCACCAAGCCCTGGCTTGGGGTTCCTTTTCTAAAGTGCCAAATGTGTGGAGGTGGGGAAAAGAAAGGTGGACGCCTCAACGCTGTTATAGTCAAAGATTAAAATGCACCCACACTTTTTCTTACACATGATGGAGTAACCGTCTGTTTATAAACAAGGGTCACTATTCCACGAGAGGCCTTACAACATTATGCCAAGCCCCTGGTACCTGGAGGACATCAGACCCTCCTGTTCCTGTGCGGCCTTGACTAGACGACCACTTGCTCTGGACTTGCTCCTCGAGGGGTCGCTCCATCTGGAAACTGAGACTGGAATTCCTGCGCATCCCTGTCCCCGCATCCAGAAACACTGCAGGAAGACTTCCGTGTCCGACCCGAGATCCGGAACAATTTCTGCTTCAACACAATTGTCCACGGAGGGCACCAGTTCCGTCCCACCGGCGGAAGCGAGATCTGCCTAGCTACTAGACCAGCCGCCTAGCTGTCATTCGGACAAAAGGGGGCGGGACTGTAATAATTGTCCAATCAGGGGCGCCGCCGGAAAGAGGGTACGACTACCCCTCGCAAATGCGTGTTACGTCACTATGCGATCGGGTTGTGCTCAGCTTGGGGTCTCCTGGCACCTTGACGCGTCGAGTTGCTGTGCCCCTGCATCGGATGCGCTGTACCGTGCGCTGGCTCCGTGAACCGTAGGGACAACACCGGGCCACCCCCGAGGCCGGAAAATGGTGAGTGTGCAGGGCCGGCCTAGTTGGAACCGGCCGTGGTCGCCAGACCCGGGCCTCCCCACAGTCACCTCTGGCCGCAGTGTGGGGCTGGGCTGGCAGCTGGGACGCCAAGAGTCCGGTCCCGTCCCTGCGCGGCGACTGCGGTCCCAGCCCCGGAGCCCTCGCTGGGCACCTCCGCGCCCGCAGCCCCAAGTCTTTCCCAGATTGTGCAGGGACCACGGAAGGGTCATGGGGAGAATCCCGCCTTGTGTGTTTGATTTGAGTGGGAGGAGCTGCAGTCTGTAGGGTCCGCAGTCCCTTCTTTATTCCCAAAGGTGGTTTCCCCATGAGTCTTCCAAAGATGTTGGAAGCAGAGTCTCAAATCCACTACCCTGTCCCCCAGCCTAGCTCCTCCCACGGAGGGCCATTAATCCCTAGATTTCCAGATCCCTCCCCGTATTCCCAAACGCCTACTTCTCCTCTCCAATGGAAAACATCGTCACCAACTCTTTGGCCTGTCTGGTGCATTTCAAACACACGCAGTATTTTAATAATCTTTTTTCCAATTGATGCCTCTTTTAAAAGATTTCTTGTTTGTGGATATTTTACATCAGAGAAAAAAAATCAGAAAAATTATTCACTTGGAACTACTCTGCATAAAATGCTGTGCCCCTCATTCTGATATCTTTCCAGGGCACAGACATCCTATGGGAACTCCTTTGGGTTGAGGTTCCTTTTCGTAAACTTTCGTGGGTGATCTATGTTTTCAGCACAGTTTCAGATTGGCACTGTCCTGCCTTGGGTTTATGACCTTGAAAAGATTTATTCATTTGAATGTCATTTTTCCAATAAATATAAAATATATGTTATCAGAAGAACTTGAGAGACAGTACCAAATATTTCCAAAGAGGCAAAAAGTAAATGAATCTCAGGAAACAAAAAAATATCAGTATTACATTTATTAAAAATTCTTTGTTCTTCCCCTGAAGAACGTGGAATATGTTTCTGAGGTCTGTTCTTTTAGTTTGATAATTTCAGATGGTATTCCAGGACTTAAACTTGCAACGCCTAGAAGCACTCAGATATGAGTAATACTTTAGTAAACTATTTCTTGCCATGGAAATAATTGACTGACATTATCATTTTCTTTCTTTCTTTTTTAACAGATGGGGTCTGGCTGTTGCTCAGGCTGGTCTTGAACTCCTGGGCTCAAGCGATTCTCCAGCCTCAGCATCCCAAAGTGCTAGGATTCCAGGCATGAGCCACTATGCCCTGCCCGACATTCTCATTTTCTGAAAGCAATAGTGGGTTTTCTTGTTAAATGCCCTAAAATTTTCTTCCTTCCTTCATTCCTTTATTTATTTATTTAGAGACAGAGTTTAGCTTTGTCACCAGGCTGGAGTGCAGTGACACGATCTCAGTTCACTGCAACCTCCGCCTACCAGGTTCAAGTGATTCTCCTGCCTCAGCCTCCTGAGTAGCTGGAATTACAGGCACGTGCTACCACGGCCAGCTAATTTTTTTTTTTTTTTTTTTTTTTAGTAGAGATGGTGTTTCACTATGTTACCCAGGATGGTCTCGATCTCCTGACCTCGTGATCCACCCGCCTCGGCCTCCCAAAGTGCTGGGATTACAGGCATGAGCCACCACGCCCGGCCTCTTGCTTCCTTTATACATAAACACTGTGTTTAAGTAATTTTGCTGGATTTTTTTTTTTTAAAGCCCAAGTCTCACTCTGTTGCCCAGGCTGGAGTGCAGTGGCACAATTTTGGCTTACTACAACCTCTGTACTTGGAAGCTGAGGATCCACAGGCAGATGCTGTTAGGGGAAGAGGGGAGGATGTCAGAGGTTTTAATTGTGGTTTCCTTGGGTGTGTTTTTAGACATTACATTTGAGTTTCACATCTGTAATATAGGTGCACTGAGTGTAATTAGTGCATATTGACAGCGATTCTCCTGCCTTAGCCTCCTGAGTAGCTGGGATTACAGGCACGTGCCACCACGCCCAGCTAATTTTTTTGTATTTTTAGTAGAGACGGGGTTTCACCAAGTTGGCTAGTCTGGTCTCAAACTCCTGACCTCAGGTGATCCACCCGCCTCGGCCTCCCAAAGTGCTGCGATTACAGGCATGAGCCATTGTGCCAGGCCCTCTGCTGGATGTTTAAGGAACAATCCTTAAGATTTTAATTAAATTGTCTCATTTAAAATTACTAGTAGTGTTCCAGAGCCTTGCAACTGGGGACCAGAGGCCTGAGATGTTTCCAAGCTAAGTCCACCCTTGAGCCTGCAAAGAAAGATCATTGAAGGCCCAATTGGTTCTTCCTGGGGAGTCTCCCCTACAGGTCTGCCAGCTACTCATGCCCGCCATGGAAGGATCCCTTTGTACTCAGAGAAACTGCAGAGCACTTGGAAGTTGAGGATCCACAGGCAGATGCTGTTAGGGGAAGAGGGAAGGATGTCTGAGGTTTTAACTGTGGTTTCCTTGGGTGTGTTTTTAGACATTACGTTTGAGTTTCACATCTGTAATGTAGGTGTACTGAGTGTAATTGATGTGTATTGACAGTGTCTGTGAAGGTCAGGACTTACGTTTCTAGAGACAGGGTTAATGAATTGAGGAGCTCATTTGCATCAAAACCTCAATCTCAATCTGGTTGAGAGTTTCCTCACTTGGGAAAATGGAAACCTGGGGAATCTAATGTTTCTTTGCTGCCATAGGAGAGAAAGAGGTGTGGAGCTCCCATAGTTCCTTGCTGATCAGGTGCTCCTATCCTCCATTACCAGGTACTGACACACTCTAGGGGTTACATTTTTCTTATTTTTATTTTTTTTTTAGACCAAGTCTCACTCTATTGCCCAGGCTGGAGTGCAGTGGCACGATGTCGGCTCACTGCAACCTCTGCCTCCTGGGTTCAAGCAGTTCTCCTGCCTCAGCCTCCCAAGTAGCTGGGATTACAGGCGTGTGCCACCATGCCTGGCCAATTTATTTTGTATTTTTAGTAGAGACAGGGTTTTACCATGTTGACCAGGCTGGTCTCGAACTCCTGACCTCAGGTGATCTGCCTGCCTCGGCCTCCCAAAGTGCTGGGATTACAGGTGTGAACCACCACGCCGGACCTAGGTTACATTTTTTTTTTTATTTTTGAGACAGAGTCTCGCTCTGCCGCCCAGGCTGGAGTGCAGTGGCGTGATCTTGGCTCACTGCAAGCTCCGCCTCCCGGGTTCACGCCATTCTCCTGCCTCAGCCTCCCGAGTAGCTGGGACTACAGGCGCCCGCCACCTCGCCCGGCTAGTTTTTTTGTATTTTTTAGTAGAGACGGGGTTTCACTGTGTCAGCCAGGATGGTCTCGATCTCCTGACCTCGTGATCCGCCCGTCTCGGCCTCCCAAAGTGCTGGGATTACAGGCTTGAGCCACCGCGCCCGGCCTAGGTTACATTTTTCAAGCTGCGAGAGTCTGGGTCCAAGCTGGGGAATATGTTTAACTTTTTTTTTTTTTTTTTTTGAGACAGAGTTTTGCTCTTGTTGCGCAGGCTGGAGTGCAGTGGCACAATCTTGGCTCACCACAACCTCTGCTTCCCGGGTTCAAGCAATTCTTTTGCCTCAGCCTCCGAGTAGCTGGGATTACAGGCATGCGCCACGACACCCAGCTAATTTTGTATTTTTAGTAGAGATGGGGTTTCTCCATGTTGGTCAGGCCGGTCTTGAACTCCCAACCTAGGCGATCTGCCCACCTCGGCCTCCCAAAGTGCTGGGATTACAGGTGTGAGCCACTGCGCCTGGCCTTTTTTTTTTCTTTTTTTGATACAGTGTCTCACTCTGTTGCCCAAGCTGGTCTGGAACTCCTGGCCTCAAGCCATCCTCCCACCTCAGTCTCCCATGTTTAACTTTTTTTTTTTTTTGAGACAGGTTCCCACTCCGCCGTCCAGGTTGGAGTGCAGTGGTGTGATCATGGCTCACTGCAACCTCCACCTCCTGGGCTCAAGTGATACTCCTGCCTCCTCTGAGTAGCTGGGACTACATGCGTGCACCACCATCCCCATCTAATTTTTGTATTTTCTATAGAGGTAGGGTTTCGCCATAATGCCCAGGCTGGTCTGGAACTCCTGGGCTCAAACAGTTCTCCCACCCGGGCCTCCCACAATTTCTTGACATCCAAAGATACTTTTGCTGTCTTAAGGTTTTATATTTTCCTGAATGTAGTCCACTTGGAGTTATTCAGGATATAGCCTTCTCAGATTGGCTTCCTTCACTGAGCCATATACTTTTAAGGTTCTTCTGTGTCTTCATGGCTTGATACCTGATTTCTCTTATCAATGAACAATATTTCATCGTAAGATTGTACCAGCCGGGCGTGCTGGCTCATGCCTGTAATGCCAGCACTTTGGGAGGCCCAGGCGGGTGGATCACAAGGTAAGGAGTTTGAGACGAGCCTGGCCAACATGACGAAACCCCGTCTCTACTAAAAATACAAAAATTAGCCTGGCGTGGTAGCACACACATGTAATCTCAGCTACTCAGGAGGCTGAGGCGGGAGAATTGCTTGAACCTGGAAAGTGGAGGTTGCAGTGAGCCAAGATAGTGCCATTGCACTCCAGCCTGGAAAACAAGAGCAAGACTCCGTCTCAAAAAAAAAAAAAAAAAAAAAAAAGATTGTACCACAGATTGTTTATCCATAAACCTGTTGCATGATGTCTTGGTTAAGTCTTTTTTTTTTTTTTTTTTTTTGAGATGGAGTCTCACTCTGTCACCCAGGCTGGAGTGCAGTGGCATGATCTCAGCTCACTGCAACCTCCACCT